CTCCCCTTTGGCCTTCCTGGCATGGTTGCACCTTGTGGAACGAAGTTCCAGCCAGTGTAGCCCGCAGGATCATTGCAGCACTGAAGCCCGACCACCACGTCAAGGTGGCAGCTTTAGGTCGCTTTAGGCAGCGGTCAATACTGATGCTTCACTGCCGTTTTGGAGAAAAGAATGAAGTTGAACAAGGAAGGGATTTATTTCTAGCTTACTAAATCATTTTGAGTTGCTTACAACCTCAGGCACTCTGGATGGAAACTGACAGCAAGAGCGCCATTGGAATCTATTTACGGTTATATATTGCAGCTTCTTCAATGATCAAAGGCATAGTATTTCATATTTCTGGCGTGATATTCAAGGATAAAAAGGTAAAGACTATATGGGGCCTAGCATTTTCAGTATTTTGCTTGAGAGATAAAGCAACTGGTTTGTACTCTCCGAAAACAAGTTAAAAGAAGAAGTAGTCTTTTGTGGAAAGATGCACGTTTCTCATAATTTACGAACGCATACTAATGTAATTCAGTGCACTGTTTCTTCGTCTGCGTAACTTGGAAAGGCGAGATAGTACAGTGGAAGAATGTAAAATGTATACAGGACTAGTCATTATTAAAAATGGATCCCAATCAGAAATACAGGATATATGACTGAAAATGTGCTCAGAATTTTGCTCATGTAAAACAAGCGTCTTTCCTCGAAACAAAAGAAGCTGAATAATAGCTTTTTCAGCTTTTTTTCTGGAAAGTCGGTATTAAATTCATTTGATGGTTCCGTTTAACTTAAGAGTTAGCGCGGAAGAGTTTTCTTACCCTTATAGACTTTTACGTTTCATTTCAAGCCCAACCTCCGGTTTGTTAATACTTCAAAATAAGAAACTGTTGGAATGCCCTTGGTTTTTCGACAAAAATCAATGAGGAAGAAAAACACTAATTTTTCGGTTAAATGGTTTAACCGATTGTTTTAACATTAAATTTGCTTTCATTCTGAAAATGTTGCTTGCATTTTGAGTTCCAGGGAGAGATCATTTGCGGCTGATGTCTTCTGTTTGATTGCATTTTTGGTGTAGATTTGGACTGACTGCCTTGTGCTAAATAAAAAATCAGCCATTTACAATGTTGTAATAAACTGCCTCTCCAGTGAACGTTGAGGTAGCTGTGATGGTTGTACAGGATGAACTATAGAATATCTGGTCGCAAATGTAGAAACATAGATAACTTTCATCTTTACTGCCTTCATATTGTATACGTTTGCCGAGTAAACGACGTGATGTGCAAACAAATTGCCAAAGACTGTTCCAAGAGGTCATCCATTGTGCGTAGATGCAGGACAAAGTAACATTCCTGTGCACTTACTAGCAACAGCGTCCTATTTTACCTTTTTTCACTGATTAGTATTGTTTTGTTCAGGTTTTTCCTGCTTAATTTGATCTGGTCTCAAGAATGCGGCAGTTTTACGGTAAATGTTGTTACACACTGAGTCTAAAATTTTCAATCGCTTGAAGACATCTTGGTTTTAAACAAGAGATGCATTCACGGATTGTTGAACCATCTAACTGCAGTAAACACATATCCAGCGGTGAGAACTGGTGACAAGCTGACTTAACTTAGCTGACCTTATGACCACTCATATGCTTATGTTAGTCTTTAGGGAAATTCAGGCGACAATGCTATAAACTGTTTGTTTCGACACAGATGTCACGCAGATCATGTGTCTCTTGTTACAAATAACATTTGTTTTTTTTTCAAATTAATTGCTTTTGCGACACCAATATGGCCACTTTGCTTCTGTGACCTGGTGAATTATGAGTGCTTTCGACGCTCCTTAGCCACGAAATTTCGGCTGATTCTCAAAATTCGAGCTTCTGTTGGCTTTTGTTCCAAGCATCGCAACAAACTAAACAGGAGATCTGTTTGCGCTGATGCCAATACTTTTTGAAAAACTACTCAACACTTCTCTCACTGACACCAGAAGGTCTTAGCTACCTTACTTCCGTTTGAGGTCGATTACGTAAGCTTGACCCCGTAAGCTTTACGATTTCAGAATCCAGAAGTGGTGGGCACCGGAAATTTTCAGCTGCGACGAAGTAGCGGTCGCAAAACTTTACGAAAGCAGCAGATGAATACGACAACACAGTGTATGGAAACATACCAGGAAGTCACCATCCAATCGATGTCAACTCATCGTTCCGCGGGTGACCTCGGGGCTTTGGAGCGAATGTTGCAATACTACATGGAATATAGACACAAATGTCACTCAGGAAGCATGCTGTTGAACACTTGTCACTGGTTCTAGCAACATTTAAAAAAAGCACAGCAGGAAAGTCAATTGTATTTAACGACTGACCCATCTGGTGAGGTAGCACTAAAGATAAAAATCCGTTGATATCGGGGAGCATTCGTTTGTAATAAAGAATGTAAACTACAGATAACTCATTTGTGAAGGCACAGGTAGGGACCGGAAGGTTCGTTCTTCGACCCCAACTTCGACATCTTGACTGCTCCTGTCTAGGCTCAGGCAACCTGACTTCCTTCCGGTGGCATGGCTGCCAAATGCCGACAAGGTGTTAGTTCTAAAAGACTGGTGTTGTTGGCGCTAGCACTATTGTCTTTTGTAAGGCGAGTCAGTGTGTATTTTTGACCCCTTCTAAATATACTTTAGTTGAGTATTAAACGTCATAGAATTCATATGCTGCCTTCTAAACAGCATAGTATGTGGCATCGTGTTACTTTCGATAATTCATTGTTATTATTAATATGCTGCAATGACATACTACCAGGCAAAATCAAGGGTATTACCTCAGGTTTGGCATGCACTGTGTTTATGCCTTGTTGTAAAACAAAGCGTAAAAATGTTGGAGATAAATTCACAGACGCACAAATTTGAGGGTCTGTTTGCCGGCCAAGTTTTATTAAGTGTAATGACGAAATAATACATAGGTTGAAGCGGAGGTTCGTGGTAATCCGTTACAACCGTCTTATTTCAGAAGGAAAAAATCCTCAGTTAGATACAAATGTGTCTGTATAACCACTTTCCACGTATTATAAGTTGTTCCACAAGGAAGAGCCTAAGAATACATTTCTGTAGCATCCAGCCTTCTGAATGAGGGTCATTACGGAAAATAGTTATTTGGGGTGATGAAGCGTCTTGGACGACTAAAGTTTACGATCATGCGCCTTTGTATTGTGTAGTTGAAGTCCAATAATGGGAGAACACTGCTGCAGTGTTATCTGACAAGTCGTTGAGTGTTTCATGACTGCGGGCATCATGCAACCAGGAAGGAGTTTCGCACCAAAGGCTTGGACTGCTCCTGAGGAAAAGCTTTTTGGCGAGTCAATTAGTTAGCTAGCTCATGTTTATGTTGTTTGTAGATGCTGCTTTCTTGTACTCTCTTTTTTAAGGAAGCTCCGTAACAAAATTCATTCTTCTATACATTTTTCAGAGGACAAGAGTCTTCTTAATCCATTCCAATATCATATAATGATCGAAGCATTGGAAAATGTAAATAGTAATCTGAACGACCTAATGTCCCCCTGATTACTTTTAATCGAGAGATAATTCGCGATTACGTTTACTCTGACGTGGAAATTCATTCCGTTTTCTACTTTGAGGCAGCCTAAAATTTTCTGTTACGAATTGAAATTTATAGATCGAGCGATCAAAGTGCTTGTTATAAAATACAGTGTGCTGATTCAAGTGCCCTTTATTCTAGGTGACTATTGACTGCCCTGAACAGGGTCTTCTTTTGAGACGTATACTGGACCATAACGAGATGGAATTCAACGCTTACGAAACACTTTTGCGTTTTACTGATGCATTTGTTGGACGCAAGTGGGCCGAATGGCAACACTGGAAAGCAGACCGGGCCAGACAGGTGTGTTTCAATTTTTGTTTGTTATACATTGGCAGGTTTGGTATTACCTAAACGTGACGAATACTTATGGACCCTTTGTTGTCACGGGACCACCAGAATACACAAATTAGCTTGAGTGTCTTATCGAAGTGAATTTAACGCATAACAAAACCATCAGGTGCAAAGCATGGAGTCCAAAAGCCGGTACAATTTTCAATCTTTCGATATTTTCATGATGTCGAAGCCCCTACTTTGGTTAAACCAGTCGGTTTGTCCGCCGCAGAATTGCTGGCTTAAGTAGAAAAAGCAAGACCATCCAACTCAGTTAGGAGTTGCGTGATCGTTGCCGAAAAAGGTATTTGACACGCGAAAACATCAGCATCATAGCCACGAACACTGCAACCCAAGTGAGTCCACCAGGTCAACAAGGGATGGCTGTGATGAGTAATGACCATCACATAAGACCAGCCTGAAATAATAAGAGATTTCTACAAAGAACGTCACGTTTTTGTTTCCGATATATTTCAGAAAGACTCAAGAAGATCAAAGTTTAACTCGACGAAACAAGGGAAAGAAATTGACCCGATCTAGGGTCGTTGTGCCACACTATTTGCCTGTCACCTGGAATTTAATTCAGGATGAATGAATGTATATCTAAAAACAAAAGAATATTAAGGTTGACGTCGACCTGGGTCGTCGTTGCGCTTGGAGTTAACTGTTTTTTTATCAGGAGAGCGTATTATCTTACGCAGTTTACCCCGAACCTCCGGCGGATTAATGACCTTCACTGGCCGGCATAAGTGATATCCAATAATAATAAAATTTGTTAAGTATACACATGACTGGAACGATGGATGACGTGATTTTTGACAACAATACAAAGTGAATTTTGGCGCTCTTGATTGAAAATTGTGAACTTGACACTCCTATACGCACGTCAAGTTTTCGGAACATGAGGTTGCGTTAACTGTCGTGTCATGGTTCCGGTTTTACTCGTGGTTTTGAAAAATTATCAAGCAGTGATGATTGCATAAACCGCTGATACGCTTGTAACCATTTTTAGTAAACTCTTCATGTCACACACACACCTGTCTGACTGGGACACATTACTACAATACGGTAATGCACCCAAGGGCTCGACCCAGCCATTGGAAAGGTGCCTTCTGATTCGGAATATCCTAGTGTCGAACTATTTCGTTCGCACTGAAAATCTCGATCATATCTTCACCCTCCGACAGATTCTGGAACAGCGACACTGCTTCCAGCAACCAACAATGGTTGTTTTTCTTGATGTGAAAGCTGCCTTTGACTCTGTGGACCGCCAAGCACTATGGCAGTATCTGTGGAGCAAAGGTGTCCCCCATAAATTCTTGACCCTCATTAAGG